CGCCACAGAGCGGGTGAGTCGGCAAGCCCCTAGGCCGATGTATCAACTCAACCCGGCCAGGAACGCGATTCGCCACCGCGTAGTGTCAGTACGCGGAGAAACGTCGTCCCATCGTTCTGTTCTCTCGCTCCGTTGTCGTGCGTGTCCCGCAAGGACTCTCGATCGCCGTAGTGCACCATTCTGTCCTGGGAATCCTCGATCCTCGCGACCGACGAACAGAAATAAGCGAGAGGCACGAGAGAGTCATTCATCCAGGCGGTCGGTGAATTAAAGAAAGAGGAAAAAGAAAACAAAAGAATATCGAGGTTGACACGCGTGTGCCACCGCTACAGGGGTGGGGGTGGAGCGGTCGAAAGAGAGAGGCACGCGAGCGTGGCCAGTTTCTTTCGTCCAAGCTGTTGATATTTGTTTTCCTCGTCTGCTTCCGCGCGAGGAGATCGAGCACAGGTACCAGACGTGTTTTCCGGGAACGGATGAGACGCACCGATGAAGCACGCGTTCGATGGGAATTGTTTGTTGCACGGGCTAACGGCGTCCCGGAGTCGATCGACGTTGAACGTGGTGGACCCGACACCAACGGCGATGGTCGTTGACCCGCTTCCGTACGACGTTACGAAGCTTTTTTTTTCAACTCGTTCAGGATTCTCTCTCTCTCCCCTTTGTTTTCCTTCCGGTGGTTTGGACTCGTTCGTCAAAGGATCGACGCTTCTCTCTTTCTAGCCTGTCTCCTTTGGCATTCTCTGTCTCCACTCTTTCTCCTCCTGCGCTTTTCGTTGGCCCTCGACGAATTACGTCTCGTGCACTTGTTCGGTGGGGAGACAAAGGGTACGCTCGCTCGGGTACGAAAGGGCAATTACTCTTCAAAGGACACACCGCCGTTGGTTTCCTCACCCTCTCGCTTGATATTTCGATTCCCCTTTCTCCGGTTCACGCGTTTCCGATCCGCGACGTCGCTCGCCGGTGTCGATGGGTAATTATTCTTTCCGCGGCGAATTATCCGCCGACTGTTTACAAGAGGATAACCCGGCTGCTCGACGGCTCCGAGTTACAAAGAGGTCAACGGAATCGATTGCCCTCTCCCTCCGGCGAGCCTGATAATTCGATAGGTCTCGAGCTTCTAATTTCTTCCTTTTTTTTCCCTCTATTTTCCGCTTGTCTCCTCGCTGGAATCGCCGTGTTCTTGGATTCGCCGGTGCTCCGGCGAGTTCCAAGGCTGCTCTTCGCGAGGACTACTTCTGACCGATAGTTAATTATCCAAGTGGCCCGCGGTCGGGCAGTCGCGTGACGAGCATCTCTTTTACAATGTAATCCGGTTCGGCACGTTCCATTCGCTCGGACACGCGGCGCGTAGGGCACAACGATTCGCTATAGGCTGGCCGAACTCGTATTTTAAGGGGTGAATGCCCTTTGATCGGGGCTAGTTGACGAACGAGGTTATAAACTGGAGGATAACTGGATGACGACTACAGGAAAAGTTTGTTCGATTCGGCTTGTTGGGAGTTTTTAAAGTACAGAGTGATTCAAAGTCTCTGCGCCGTGAATTTAGAGCGGCGTAAGAGACGGCGTAATGTATAGATTGTGTTTCTAAGTGGGGAAACAAGTCGAGGACATGAACTAGCCGTTTTTATTGGATATTAGGTGTTACTGGTTACAGAACACTGTATATTTTCCTACGGTATAGCAAACTGTTTAAAATTCCATCTGACTCACGCTCCTACGTTCACTTTTGCGTGTATAAAGCGTGAGTCAGACGAGGTAAAGTCAATTTTCTAAAAACTAACACTGCCGCGATAACGTATATATTTAGATTCCACACCAATTATTATTGCAATACATCTACACCCACTTGAAGGAGTCATTGTTATCCTTTATTCTCCTTCTCTATGTTCATTTCTCCACTCGAGTAATATTAAAAGCCACAAAAAATAACACGCTCTGACGTAAAAGACAATCGAGTGTTTACCGAAGATTTATCAATACCGAGAGCTAAAATCTCCGAACGCGAAT